CTCAGCCCCTTCACTTGCGGGACCGTTTCCTCCTCACAGGGTTTCTGGAGCGGTGACTTATCGGTGGCGGGCTTTACATTTTTTTTTTATTATTATTATTTTTTTTAAAATTTTCTTTTAACCTAAAACTCTGCCAATTTTTTTTTTTTTTTTTTAAACAAATTCGGTCGTGATCTTTCCCCGCTGCCAGGATCACTGGACATTCTTTTTCTCTCCTCAAACTGTCAAAACGCTATTTCAGACACTGGAAAATGCAAACCCCGAGAAAGTCTAAAATCGCCCCGTCTCTACAGCGGGAGTGCGGGGCCCGGAGCCCCGGAGCCCCAGCCCCCAGCCCGCTCCTTGGAGAACGCGGAACATCGCAGCCTATTTAATAATGAATCCAGAAACCCGGAGCGAGGGGTCGGCTCCCGTTCCTGCGCTCGGCGGCGAGCTGTGCTCGTCCTCGCCTCCCTCTATTTAACCACTCAATTAAGCGGAGGAAGGTGAGCTCCCCATTACGCCGTCCCCAGGCATTTCGGTGCCTCTCTCGTTCCCCTCTTCATTGGCAAGCCCGGCCCGAGCAGCACGCACACGCCCGGCCTCCTCAATCTCCTTTCTCCGCTAGAATAATATTGTTCCTAACGACGTGGCCGGAATAGACACTTGCGTATTAAAAGTGAGGGAGGGGGGGAGATGAGAAGGGAATATTTAGTGTAATCCAAGTGCTTGATTATCCATATTCTGATCACAAAGAGTTTCTGAGGCCTGCTGGGAGTGATTAGATTAATGTAATGCGGTTTGAAGGGTCTGTGTTTTCTCTCTTAATTTGGGTCATTACTCGGAAAGCAAGCGTGAGATCATTTTATCTGCATGCAAGGAAAGATAGTCATTCAGGAGCGGTTTAAACACGCCGTAATGAACCGACCCCGAAAAGCGGCGCTGGGAAACTCCGAGCCGCCCTTGGCGCTGCCGGTCGGGGCCGCGCAGCCCCGCCGGGGGTCCTGCAAGGGCTCTGACCCCGTTCCGGGGGGCGGCAGCAGCCTCTGAAGCCTCTGAAGCCGCCCGGCTCCCTCCCGCCCTCATTTTGCTCCTCTGATGCTCGCGGCTCCCGCAAGCCGCGTTCACACGGGGGAGAGCGCCGTGCAGCCCGGTCCCCGCTCGGGCCGGGGCCCAGGTGGGAAATGAGACACCTGCGAAGGGCCGGTTTATTGTCCCATGATAGATATAGATATATTCCTCACTTATTGGAGCGTACATTTAAAATGGAGATTTACAGACACGTATAAAGAGCGCTGTCCTGGCGCCGGGCGGGGGGCGGCCAGCCCGGCCCATCCTGGCCCGCTCCGGCTGCGCAACGCGCCATTAAATAAGATTCCTCTTATATACAACTGCGCCTCGGGGTCGCTTGCTACCGGCGGCTGAGCTCGCTGGGAAAAGGCCAGAGAAGCGAAGGCTGGTTTGGATAAATAGTGCTGGCCTGGTTGAGCAGGTCCGAGTGTGGCGGCGCGCCGGGCCCTTAGCTCTGCCCGCTGCGCCCAGGGTCCCGCGGCGGAGGAGCGCTGGAGACGCTGTCGTGCAACTTTCGGACGTGCTTCTTTAAATCAAAGTTTCTGCAAAATCCTTTCCCGCAAGTGACACACGTAAAGGGCTTCTTGTCATTGTGGGTGTGCATGTGGAAAGTCAAGTTATAGATCTGGTGGAAGGCTTTGTTGCAAATGGTGCACTTGTACTGCTTCTCTCCGCTGTGGGTCAGCTTGTGGTTCTTGTAGTTGCCTGCGAAAGAGGAAAAAGATGGAAAAGGGAGTTACCCGAGGGTGCCCGGTGCGCAGGTAAGGGGGGCATTAGGAAGTGTTTCCACCCGCACCCTCGTCCCGCTTGTCAAACTCGCTCCTCGTCAGCGCGGAGCAGCGCGCAACTGGCACGGCACAAATGAGAGGCAGGGTCAACCCGGTGACCCGCGGCAAACGGAGGGCTCTGGATTAGGACCGAGGCCCGGCACCTTTCATTTAAAAAGCATTTAGGGGGAACCGTCAGCGCTGCCCGGCGATGCGGCCCAGCTTAGAGGAAAAGTAATTGGGAGCGGCGGCGGATCTGCCTGCACCCCTCGCTTCCCCCAGCCGGGCAGGGCTCGCCGCGTTTAATCCCCGCTAATGATGGGAGAGGGCCCCGGCGCGTCCCGGCTCAGCTCACCTTTCTGGTGGAAGCCCTTGCCGCAGAACTCGCAGACGAAGGGCTTGTAGCCGGCGTGGATGCGGATGTGGGTGTTGAGCGTGGAGCTCCTGTTGAACGCCTTTCCGCACTGGTTGCACTTGTGGGGTTTCTCCTGCACCGGGGTGCGAGAGGCCGGTCAGCGGGGGCTGCGCGGAGAGCAGGGGCG